CTTATCCGTAGATGGGGATGACAATGACAAAGTTAAAAAATTACATTTCACGCAACTTGATAATACTCTTCCTAATTCTATATGTTTAGTACAGTGTCTCTCCGACTCCTTGTCACTTGAACATTGCTAATTAAAGGGGATTGAATGATTTTATTTTGAAACTCCAAGTGTAGAAAGTTTTTAGTTTCCCCACAGTCGATAGCTTTCTTGGTAGATTCCTTGCCCTCAAGAAAAATGGTGTCTCTACTCTAATACTCACATCCTATAGTATTCAAAATAATTATCATAATCGTTGGACATGACTTTTGTACACTTATTCACCAATTCCATAAAACCACCTTCACGCTCTGTTCATGTGGACCAATTACCAAAACCTCTTTATCTTGCCACTATTTCCATCGGCTTGGTTGGTCGAGTTGGCATTTGATTGACCCTCAATTGATTCACCAATATCACTTTTAACTTAGTCCTTCACGACATATCAAAGTCGTAATCTAAATTTGAGTGACTTGAAACAATTCAATAGCCCTGCTTCATTTGGTACTTGTCCCAATTTTCAAAAGATCCCAAGCTTTTCATAGGCTTTTCTAACTTGCTGTCATTTTTATTGTCTCGTCCAAAATATTCCCCATCGATTGGACCCCATTGATCTGTCCCAAGGGGGCGTATGTTCATTCTGCAGTTTGGTCCCTCCAATTTCTAATTATGCAACTCTGCCCCTGAAATTTCCTAATTATGCAAATGAGTCCTTAAACTTTCTGAATTGTCTAAANCCTTGTTCGATTTTTTTTTTCAAAATCACTTTTTTTTTTAAAAAACTCATGTCAACTCTACATTCTTTCAATAAAATAATTTTACACGTGAATCCATAATTTTTTTCCTACTTTCTAACCACAAATTTTCAAAAGAAATCAATTTGCACTTTTAAAAAGTCAAAATCAAACAAGGGCTTAATTTACTTATTAGACCACGCATGATTGTCAAGAGTTACTTTTTACCAATAATCCATTGAAAAAATAACTTTTAAACCCAACCAAGAAAAAAAAAGAGTTAAACTCTCTTTGCAATTACTTTATTGAGAAGCAAGTTTAAGCACAGTCAGTACGTCAACAAAGCACACAATTAATTGAAATGAGGATTACACGTTATTACTTCTTTTAAGCGTCTCTAGTGAGGAACAACAAATTTGGTGTAACCAGGGGACAGTCATTATGTCAACGAAGCACACAATTAATTGAAATGAGGATTACACGTTATTACTTCTTTAGGACATCTCCAATGAGGAACACGAAATTTGGTGTAACCTCTCCCATGGTTACACCAAATTTTATACCAAATTTTCTAATTAACTCATACTTCTGATTGCATGGAAAAATATCCTGGAAAAAATCAGTATTTTTAGATTCAATTATAGTATTTTTCCATAGATTTATATCTAATAAACACATTCTTCCCAAAACCAACTTTTGTAAAAACAAACTTCTAACATCTTTGGCTGACTTAAAAAAGTTCATATAGACGTAAATATATTTTAAAATAAACAACTTTTTATTGATCAAAATTGTAAATAAACAAGTTACGTACTAACACTTAAAAAAAAAAAGAAAAATTAATTTACCCGAACATATTTGGAAACAAATTAAAATTTGGGACATTGTCCTTTTCTGGTTGTCGTTGATTCTTCTTCTCAATTTCACTTCTCATTTTCTAAGTTAAAAGGTGACATTACACTGCAGCTAATTGTCTTCTAATAAGTACAAATTAAATGAAAAGTTAAAATAAAACGACAAATATCGAAATCAAAAGGGATCAAATTATTGCAATTGGATATCTTTCATTTTGTTTTTGACTATTGCTCATTGATTAGTTAATGGACTATGGGTTTAAGAGAATAATTTATTGAAAAATAATAAACAAGACACGAGTAGCATACATAAATATATAATAGGTTAGATGATAGACGTTGTCAAATCAATTAGATCATTATTGTTTAAATTTGAAATTATTTCTACCGACAATGCAAGTTACATATATAAATATATAATAAAGCTTCAAGTACAGAAATTGATGTGACCAAACTTGAATGACATGTTTTTTTTTTTTCCGCTTTCCCATCTTCCAATGCTGTCATGCCAAGTGTGTTTATCAAAATTTCCTGTCAGAAAAATCTGTGCCTATAGCTTGATTCAGAAATATATTAGAAGAATATCGTGAAGCATATGCATAGTTTAAAATATTTTCCTAATTATTTTTTCATAGCCGTTGTCGTGTTTCTTGATCAAAGAATAACTAATATAGGTATTTTCCCATAAAGTTCTCGATTAAATTCATTTCACCTAGAGACTTTTTAATAGGTTATTAGTTTGAACCCTTCTATTTGATTTTTTTTTTATTAGACAATCTTATATGTTTATGTGGCATACCGATTTACTTAATAATAAGTGACCATTTGTGTCTTTTGTTTCTTTATTTTTCTCTCTTAATTTTTATCATATTTAATTTTTAATCATTAATTTTTATTTCCTTTTTTCGACTTTACTTCTTCTAAAAAATATTCTAAAAATAGACTAACATTGATTCAGAAAAGCAAAGAATTCACAGGTTAAAGAGCAAACAGAGAATTAAAAAGATTATAAATTTTGGGATATACCACCAATTTTGATTGTGAACTGATTGGTTTTGAAGTTAAATCGACGAGCTCTTATGTTATTGTAACGATTTTTTTAAAAAAAATTGAACTAATTGTTTGCTGATTAGTTCAATCCAATATTTAAAACACCACTTTGAATTATCGAGAATAAATTTAGACGATCATAAAAACATACAAATTTTACAATTTAGGTTGTCATTACTTCAATGCAGATAAAATATGAAATTATCAAAGAAATGAATCACTTTTAATCAAAATTAATAGCCATCCAACAAAACATAAGGAAAAATTTCACCACCAGGGGAAGCTCGATAATAAAGATGATGAAACAGAAAAATGTCAAAAAGCAAAGTTCAGATATAAGATTTTCTTTATTCCCTTTAGGTGGTAAGCTTCATGATGGCGCTGACTATGTCTCCATTAGATGTCTTGAGAGCCTTGCTTCTCGACACCCCAGCTTGTGTCATTACCAATCAATGTCACGAAGCTCGACCCGTGTCTCATCAATCTCTTCATCTTCCCCTTCCTCCGCCTCATCTGGTTGTGCTGCAGCAGCCAAGGCAGAAATATCTGATTTTTCCATCACAGAACCTATATCAGTCATCCTGAATTGTTGGGCCGCCTTTGTCTGAAGCTGAGAACTCAAATCCTCAATCTTTGCCTCTCCAAATATGATGCAGGTCTCAGAATTTAGGCTTTTGAAGACATCGGGTTTGGAGATGAAAAACAATATCTGCAACAAGGGGCCTTGGTTAGAGCCTAGAGGGTTGCATCCAAAAAGTAAGAAATCTACAAAGCGGAAAAAGAATCACTATTTGCAACTGTATTTGGATTTCAGACCGAGACATTGGCCAATATAAGCTCATTCAGTGACAAAAATGTTCGAGGCTTGGTGGATACAATAAGGCCAAAAAAAAAAAAAGAAGGAACCATATTGAACACCAGAAAATGCACTTATTAGCAAAATCAACTAGTCATCATCGCAACGTACATATGTCCACTAGTCAGCAACTTCCACCAATTAATTGATCTAAATAACTGAGTTTTTGTAAGAAGCAGAAGGAGCAAATTATATACTGGCTGAATATAACACTTGAAAGATCTACCAAGGTGAGAACCTCACTGATACCGAACTCAATCAACTCCAGTATAATGTGATCACCAAAAATCAACCATAGCCAGTTACAATCGCGAATCAATGACAGAACAACTATGCTTGGGAGGTGTATTCAATTGAAATTTTCAAATATAAATTATTCTTGTTGAACATGACTTGTTCATGTAGCAGGGCTCTTTAAATATTTTTAAGAACTTAAAAAAGTTCAAGAATATTCAGTGTAGACTTTTTAAGACTTTAAAAGTATTAGTATATTCAATAGAAATTTTACAGATTTATTCAATTAAAACTTTTTAGAAGTTTCATCAAGTTCTGAATATTCAAAATGTACTTTAAAAAACTATTATAAAAATCTCTTGAGTACTAACTTTTAAGTAGAAAGTACAAAAATATTAAAATTTGTATCCCGTTATGCCGAGATTTTGGCTTACTTTCACAAAAAAAAAATAAAAAAAAAATAATAATAATAAAATCTTTTAATATGTATTTTTGTCCTTTCAATATTTTTCAATGAACCTTAAATTCATGGTTATTATCTTTTCTTCTCTCCGTTATATTTGTTCTCTTTTCACTTTTCCTCCTTTTTATTGTTTCTCTACATTTTCCACGAGAAAAAGATTAAATTGTAATTAATAAATTCTTATAACTTTTTTTTCTTTTTTTTTTTTCATTCAATTTTTTATATATATATATAAAAGATCAATTTGTGATTAAATTATANTAGATATTTCTATATTTCTTTTATCAAAATATATTGAAATATTATATATTTAATGTTTTGATTATTTATTTATCTAATTAAGGTGACTTAATTTTTTATTCTTAAAAATAAATTTTATTACATGCAAAAAGGAGAGGGGGAGGGTATCGATCCTCCACATCCTATGTGCAATTTTCCCACTATTGCGCCATGTTGAAGTTAATTCTATACTAAGTGAAAGATTTCAAAAGTCATAAATCTTACAAAAGTCTATAAAAATTGAGTTATACTATTTATCATCATGATAATTGAATATCGGTGAGGCAACTCATTATCCATCATATTTCTCTCTCTCTTCCCCGCTCTTTTATAAAAATTGAACTGTCCAATCGCATTATTCCACGTAGATTATCATATCACTAATGTTCTATCATCATGATAATAAATAACTTTATTCATAAAATTTTTAAAATGAAAGCATATAGAAGTCTGCGAAAGACTTCTGTTACGCCTTACAACCGAGACTCTCATGTGACGCCTATGTGGCATGCAAGGACTTGCCGAAGTCATCTACCAACCGAAGCCCTTTCATCGAAGTGGTGGCATTCCATTAACCTACCAAAGCCCCCTGCCGAAGTGGCGATTCTCAACGAGGCCAAATCCGGAACTCCCTTGAATATCCTAAATGGATAAAATCTTGTTTCAATGATTGATGTGACTCCTGTAATGAGTAATATATTGAAATATTGTTAACATAGGTTATAGGGTGGTTGCCCCTCTTTGAGAGCAGTAAATGTGCCACGGGCTAGTTGGATCAAAATTGATGCTTGGGATAAGATGTTTCGGCTAAGGAGATGAGATCACGAGTCCCCTCATCCAATGGACACAATTTCAAATATTACACTATAAATATTCCCCCTAGTGTCATTGGGAGTAATGCAAATACAACTATCGTAAGCTATATGTTATTTCCTTTTGAGTTAAACGTTTTGTTGATAAAGTTGGATGTTTGATCTTGACTTTTAGTTTAGTTTTTGCTGATTGTTCCTTATCATGTGATTTTGCTCATATATCTTGCTCGCGTCTGAACATTTTTGTCTCGCATTATAAAGCTTCTCCCACGTTCAAACTCAAAATATCGTCGACTAATAATCTATCCAAACGTGATGGAATTAGCTTGCGTGGACACGAGTGAGCCCAGTATCTATTGTCCAAGTCAACGATACAAAAAATGAGGTCAACAACTTCCATTAAAAACATACAAATCTACGAAAGTCAACAAATTTCCCAAAGTTCATCACTTAAAAAATGTCTATAAAAAGCTGTAGAAGTCCCAATTGAATGCCCCCCTAGATTCATCTTGGTCAAAATTTTCTTAAGTATTTCAATAATAGGTGCCAATTTCAAAATGATCGGGTGTTTAACAGATAACTTGCAAGTTAAATATCAGGTAGACAATTTCAGGCATTTAGGCAATTCAATGATTCTCATGACAAAAGCGCTCCAAACAAAACAAAACAAAAATAGTATATATAAGCTGTATGAATAGACCACATTAGATATAAAATCATAGATTCTTTCTCTCTTTAACTCCCCAGTTCCCTAACCTGGCTACTATTTAGCTTTCACATGCTTAAAAATGCAACATACTAATGGCCAAGTAGAACCCATATACTGAAAAGTCCATTAATTGCATAATAAAAGGCAAGAACTCAATATAATGTATTTGAATTAGAACTCTAATTACTGAGGAAAAGAATAATGGACCTGGGGACTAGGCCCGGCCTTGGCCCAAGGCTAACCAGGCAGTCGCTTAGGGCCTCATGAATTCAGGGGCCTGGCCCAAACCGTCCTCAAGACCACTACAAAACCTACCTAATTTCTTAAAATAATCTCGTTTTATCTATGGTTAAAGAGACGGTGAGAATATGATTTGCAGAAGAAATTACAAGTAATCATTTGTGTGAGTGTTCATACAAGAAGCAAATTTGCAGAAAAAATTACAAGTAATCGATTCTTGTCCCATAATATCTCTCTCGTCTCTTATATTGTTTTCAAGATTGTAGTTTTCTATGTTGTTCATTCAGTAGAGAATGGCCTTGATTAGCAATAATTTGTGGGTTCCTCTAATTCGAGGCACCTATTTGGATGCTGACTTAGAAAAGATAAAATTAGATTATATGAAATTCTAGTTCGATGCTTAATTTAAATGTCTAACTTTGGAGTTTGGATTCCTCTCATTCTAATTGTCTAATTTAGGGACCCTATTTGGTTTCTTCTAATTCGATGTTAACAACTCTCAGCATAGAATTTGTCTTCAGTATTTGGCTCAAGATATCAACATTTTAGCAACTTTGGCTTGCCATGCATGCTTAGAGGTTTTTTGTTTTTCACAAGTAGACCCTTGACACAGGAAGTAGGCATCGTGCAGAGCACTTCATGACAGGTTATCGAATGGTATTTGATTGGGAAAATTTAAAGTTGGTCTACTGTCATTCGAATTTTGAATATATGGCATTTTTTACTTGTATATAATTTTGCTCTTGAAGCTATCTTATACTAGAATATTCATGGAGAAGTTTATAAAATTCCACCCTCACTTCTACAATATATTTTTTCAGCAAATTAACACCCTCTCTGTATCATTTTTTAAGGTGGTACTTTCGTAAAAAATAAAATAAATTATATTTAACACCCTCTCTATCCATTTTTTAAGTAGTACTACGTTTGTAAAAAGTTATATTTAACGGTCTCATAATAATTAGTCGTCGATGGTGCATGATTCAAACAATTTCACAAGGACGTTTGTTGTGCTTACAACTCACAGGTCATCGAATTTTGTAAATGAATCTAAGAAAGTTTGTGCATTCTGATGTGATCTTGAATTGGAAGAGTCAAAATTTCGTGTATTTGAATTATCGTCCTTTTTACCAATTTTCTAATCAATTACAAGAATCGCAAATAGACCATTTTTTTCCATGGAATTCCATTTCTCACTTTTGCCATGTTTGATTACATTTTTTTTCCTAAGATTTGGTTTTCTACATTTGCCATCACGTCACCCCTTTTCTTGGTTTTAGTTGAATTTCAATTCCCACATTTTAGGTCATTTTTGGTTTTCCGTCTTTTTTTTTTTTTTGGCAATAAAAACAAATTATATGCCCAATTGTAAAAAAAATTATCCCTTTAATTGACAATTTTCATGTAAAACAAAGCCAAACGAACACAAAAAAATTCCATTTTTTTTTTTTTGACAATCCAAACAAATATATCCTCAATTGTAAGAAATTTTATCCATTTAATCGAGAGAATTTTCATGAAAATAAAGTCAAACGAACACCAAAAGATAGAAAATTTCAACATTTTTCAGGTAAAAAATTATACCAATCAAATACACATAATTGACAATTCACAGTAAAACAAGTTTTAGGCAATTCAATTCCCTACAATTCATTTTCTTTCTACCCAAATTCCATCTTTGAATCAAACGGACCCTTATCATCTTTTATTTCTCATAAAATCACTAGTTTTCTTAAGGAATTATCAATCGATGATTGTATCTAGAATGCTAGTATATCTCAGAAATTCTAATTGGTTTGTTGTAAATACACCAAATTCTTTTTTTATACATATATTAAGGGGGCCAATTTTTATTTTTTATTTTTTGTATAATGCATTTTGGAATAGTAGATTAATGAAGAGCGTGTGGTTAAAAATGAAGGAAAAGTTTTTGGGTTGTGTGTAATATTATTTTATGTGTGATTGAAAAGAATATAGAAAAAAATGTGTTTTGAAAAAAATGGAGATCAAACAATACAAACTGATTTTCAGAAATGGGTGGCTGGTTTATTTAATTCTTTCGTCCAAGACAAAGTTCAAGTTTTAATACAAAGACAAACAACAGAATCATACAATACATATATGTAATTCTTGCAATCTAAATCAATATCAAGGGAAAAGACCCTTAATTTTTAATTCTTGAAAAGTTCCAAACAGTGTTCTTGATCCAGGCTCCTGCCCCAGAATTTCTTGTAATATTCTGCATACGTGTAGTCTCTATAAATGGCTGGAGATCCATCAATAGTGAGTTCCTTTGGTGCACTGATTACTGCATCATTGCTTGGACATAAAAATGAAGCTACTGAAATTCTTGCTTTATCAGCATTTACTACAGCTCTATGCCAAATACTTCTGTATTTGCCATTACTCAGTCCCTGCATGTATATACGATCAAGATTGAGTTTGATAACTCTTTTCGATTTTAGTGCATATTATGAGATATTAATATGTTGGGAAATTATTCAATTTTGTCACGTGGACCAACATATATAATTAATTGTGTATAAAGGTTTTCTTAAAGTTAAGTCCAAAATTAAAGTGATCTAATAAAAAATTAAATAATTAAACATTGGGCATCTAAATAAGGTGTGGACATGATTATATGTGTAGAGACCGAATCCATTAAGATTTGTATTTGACGATGGGTCGAATACATATAGAACTATATATAGGGTTATAGTCCATAATTCATATGCGAAAAAATTTCTCATTCTTTGTGTCATCCCATCAACACAAGAATACAAGAGAAAGCATATTGAAGAGGAAAATCCATAAATCCACAATCAAGAATCAAGAAGAAGGCTTGGGACAATTAAATTGAAGAACAAAAGATCAAGATTCAAAATTCATTATTCAATATACAAATCAATAGATCAAGGTATGTTCCGCGTTAATTAAGTTTCTTGGTGATTTGACATGAAAATCTTAGCAATTATGTACAGTTTATGAAGTTTAAGTTTCATGAAAATTTTCAACAAGTGATACCAGAGGCATCATGTTGAATCATTGAGAATCAAAATTTTAGGCACTGTCTGGGAGTGCTATTAAATTTGCTAAAAAGTGATTGTTTTACCGTTGAATTGTTCAACGGTTGAAAAATCACAGAAAATGCTTGAATTCTGTGTCAGACCAGGAGACAACAACGGGCAGAAAATCGATTTTTTATTTTCAAATCTATCCCAGACAAGGCCTTAATTTTAATTTTTTAGATAATTTCATTATTTTCTAATTTAGCGATCTGGATTTATTTTTTTTTTGTCAAATTTGAAATTTTTTCCTGCTTGTGGATCAAGAAATTTCAGTTTAAAAAAAATTAGGGGGTGGCAACCCGAGCGATGCTGCATGCTGGAAACTGCAGTCGGGGCTCCTGCTAGACGCGGCTGCTTGCAGCGACGAGCCCTGCCTTGAGTTTGGGGGGCGGCGCCGGGGAGCCCGCCCCCGGGATCTTCATAAAAAAAGATTAGGTGTTAGGCAAATTGTTGTCAAACGACCCGTCGCCCCCGGGATCTTCATAAAAAAAGATTAGGTGTTAGACAAATTGTTGTCAAACGACCTCCCATGGCGATGATGAAATACGTTGTCTAAATTCAGTCGACATTGCCCAAATGCCTGAAAGTACATCGCCACAACAATTTGGTAAACCAACCCTAAACCGCCCCAAACTTGGAAGGCTCCCGTATGATGATGGCCCACCTTATTT